TTCAGAAAGCCAAACTTCAGGACAGCCATCCTGTCTTCCCTAGGTTTTCACAGGCATTGCTAACACCTACCTTTGATTGTATTTTGGCAGTTGTGTAAGTCAGAATCAAAATTAGTGTCTGAGTCTCCGCTGATTTAATTTATTAGCGAATATTTATTAAGGCAAGGCACATTCGTGTTGGCACAGGTACTGCAGCACGTACTTCAGTCGCAGTGCCAATTGCAGATTTCAGAGAGCTGTTTGCAGCCTGGATGTGCTCTTGTGACACCGTTTTTCCATGTGGTGTTAGGTTTAAACCGAGCGGGGCCAAGCGATCTGGCCCGCCGAGTGCCTGGGCTGCGCTCAGGGAGCCGGGCTGTGCTCATCCTCACACCTGGGGCGTGTCACAAAGCTGTCACATACCGTTTTCATGACGCTGTACGTGTCATTGTAAGTCTTGTGGAACATGATTTGGGGGATCCCATGCAAACACGGAGCTGGCGCTGGCTCAGCACAATGCCAGGCTCAGCTCTGCCAGAGAGGCTCCGTGCCCTCGCCAAGCCCGTGTGCGGCTCGCTCGGCGTGCGAGCTGGTTTCCCGTGGCAGTAATCCATGCCGGGATGCCGGCAGGGAGCGGGAGGCAGCGCTCGCAGCCGCCCTGTCCCCTGAGCCGGCCTGGCACGGCGGCGGGACACGCGGGGACAGCGCGGACACGGGCTGCCCCCTGCCCGCGGGGACAGCGCGGACACGGGCTGCCCCCTGCCCGCGGGGACAGGCAAGGACACACGGGCTGCCACCTGCCCGCGGGGACAGGCAAGGACACACGGGCTGCCCCCTGCCCGCGGGGACAGGCAAGGACACACGGGCTGCCACCTGCCCGCAGGGACAGGCAAGGACAGCCGGCAGCGCCCCGAACAGCCCCGCTGCCCAGCCTGGCTGCTTAAACAGCTTTAAAGGAGCCTAACTCTGCTGAGGTGTGTGATTGGGAAGTTTAAAAATATTGAGTTGCTTAGTGACCGCTATGCATTCTTGGATAAATGAGGGGACACCGTCTGGTATGAAGTTAGTTGCTGCTCCACTCCCTCAAAGTACAGGGATAGGTGTTGTCCTCGTATCTTAGAGACACACCTGGAACCTGAAGACCCTTTGAGACAGCCCAGATCGTGGCCATCCTTCCCGTGGGCTGCCGTGGTCCCCACCCAGCAGAACCAGGGCACAGCCAGCCCCAAGAGGGACAGAGAGTGGCATGCCAGGGGTCTCTCTGTGCTTCACAGCAGTTTGAGCAGTATCATAAAACATTCCCTGCAGCTTCAGCTATCCCAGAGAAGTCTAAGAGAGGGATTTTCATGTCATTTTAAGAAAGGACTAGGAAAAGACCAAGAAACACAAACCTTCCAATACTGATAATTTGGAGAATGTATCAATCCCATCACTGACTGTAGGATAAGTATGCAGGAAATGAACCTGGGTACTTCTGTTTCGCCAGTTTCTTGTTCATATCCCAAAGACACACATACAGGTAGATCGATCCTGTCCTACGGGCATCCAGTCATATGGACATCACTGTGGGAAGATGTATGGGAGACAGGGACAGTGATCTCCGTGTTCTGCATGCCCCTGGGGTGTGGGATGCTCAGTGCTGTCTCTCCAAGGTCTGTGCCTTTGGTTTCCTCCTGCCAATGCTTTTCATCACCTACTTCTCTACTGTATTTGTTCAGGATCTGTTTTTCCAATATTCCTTTGGTCATAGACATTTTTGCTGATTCCCCACTAGGTTGAAAATAATTTTCCACTTTATCACAACTGCTAGTATATTGAGGGAGCAAGAGACATTGTATAAAGTGATGGGAAAGGGCTCTCTAGCGCTCTGAAAGCTTTAAAATCTTTGCTTTCAGTTTGGAAGGGAATTTCAACTAAAACCACTGAAAAGCTCTTCAGAAAACACTGACTATATGTTGTTTTGTGATTGTTCCCACATCCCTCGTAATTCTCAACCACAGCCCTGTGCTAGAGGCTAGATACACATGGTGGGTATTTTTGCTCTTGCTAGCAGTGGGACAGCAGGAATGCAAGCTTCCCTTTGATGTCCAGAATCAAAGTATTGACAAACAGTAAGAGAGGGATGTGAGTTTTGAGGTTGTATCTTCCCTCAGAACAGGAAAACTGCCTATCTCCAAGCTTTTCCCAATACTCTTTTATTCTTCTCACAAATTGTTTTACTTTTCTCTCCTTCATACAGGAAATAAGCCTGAGCTCTCACACTTGAAAATGCTTGTCATGCTATCTGTGCAGAAACATTTCAGACTCCTTGTACTGAGCACTTAATTTCTCACCCACATCTTTTCAAGAACTGGCAGCCTGCAGAATAACTTTGAAAATAATTTATTTCATATTGCAGCAGTCCTGTATACTAGAGCTGTCTTTAACCATTCTTGTGTTCTGCTGGTACTGCAATGTAATATTGATTTTGTTTCTGTCATTTTCAGGTCTTTGGTTTGCTTGCAGAGCAGCTGTAACTGCACTACATTTTGCAGCATGAATGAGCTGCGACGGTGTGGATGTGCACAGCAAAACAGCCCTTGGAATTTCTGGACAAACATCTCACACATGGGCACTTTCACTCTGCAGGGAACTTGAGTAAGATCATCCCTCTGGCCTCTTTTTTCTGTGTTCCTGTTCTTCTATTATACTTATTTTATAATAACAATTGTTTTGGTTGTACTATTTGCGTGACACATGACATTGTTTTGCAAAGTTTTGGCTTCCTGAAGAGAGAACTTTTCCTTTGTAATTTGCTTTTCAAAACGTGACTAGTCATTCCCTGGGCAAGTTTCTGTTTCGGTTTTCACTTGCTTTTCTGATGCTATTTCTATAAAACAGGGGAGTTTGGGCTTTGGTGTCGCTTTTCTTGTACAGCCCTAGTTTGAAAATTATGTCAGAAGCAGGAGGCAATGGAAATCTGGATGTGCTACTGCAGGTCAGCAGAACTAAATCACCTTTATTCCCTGGTCCAATTACTCTAAGCTTGATCCAGCTCTGCTCTGCACTGCTGACTGCAATGTGGACACATACAGACACCTTTGGAAAACTAACTGCACAGTATAATCAATCCTCCTATTTGATGCACAGTGTTACAGTTAAGAACACAAAATTTTGATGTGTGCTAACCACCAGAGTTAATGGCAGTTTGAGTTGAGCTCTGCAGGCCTCTCCTAAAGAAAATCTGATTCATTGCTCAGGGACTTTTTTTAAACCATCCTTTTTATACTGAGGTTGGGGAATTCCAGTGTGATGAAAGAAAAATTATCATTTTATTTCACTGTCAGAAATTTATGAGGTTTGGTGGTTCCATTTTAAGATCACTGTAGTTCAGGTTGGTCAGTTCCCTGCCCCACTGGAACCCTGAGAGTTGGACCACCTTCATTTCTGCTGGTCAGATGCTTCACTTGGAGAGATGAAGCCAGAAGCCAAGGGAAGAAAAAGTTGAAGTCAAGCATCTGCCAACACAGCTTTAAGCTACATTCATGCCTTCCTGGATGGCACATGGTATAAAGGAGCAGCCTATCTACCAGGGCATGTGAGGGCATGGAGTTCTCCCTCCTGCCTTGGCTGTGCTTCTACACAACTGCATCCTACAGAAGATGGCAGAACCAACCCCACTGCTGTGCTGTTTTTCTGAAAGGCAGATATTTTATTCTCTGAGGCATGTGGAACCTGGCCAAAACAGGACCAGGAGCAACACATTGTCATAGTGTGTCAGAGCTGTGCACAGATAGCACAGACACAGTGCCAGGTGTTAATCAGTCCATGGCTGCACAATTTGGCCCATGGCTGTTAAATCATCTGACTGCAGCAGCCTGAAGGTTTTCCTTCAAAAAGCAGCACAGTGTGGGGATTTTGGCAATATAGCAGTGGATTAGACACTTAGAAAATGCAGCTAGATTAGAGGCTCCAAAGTGGGGTGGAAGGTTTTTCTGACTGCTTACCATGGAAGGTGCTTGAGAGCTGTACAACGTACACTGGGGCTGGGCACAACGTGCTCTGTGTCACTGAGACCTTTAACAGGTCAAGTCTGTGAAACAGGTAATGAGTTCAAATCTATGTCCTGCCCTTCCTTTCAGGCTCCTGCTTGATGCCATGCACAGATTTTAGCTGTTTCCAAAGGCTATGTACTGCCTTCCCAGGTGCCTCACTTCCAGCTATGTGGCATTTTGGAGGAACTGTGGGCTGTGGGCACCCAGCATTGGCAGGGGTTGATTGCCAGCCTCTGGCACCCTGTGGCCAGCCTTACCTTGTCCTTTCCAGGTCCTGTGGTCAGGTGGCAACCATGGGACTCTACCCCACACGCCCAACACACCAGTGGGCAGGTGAGAGCCAGCACAGGTAGCTCTCTTCCTGTTTTGGCTGAGTCCTGATACTGGCTGGAGATTTTCTCCAGGGAACTGATGACAGAACTAAAGAAAGTCACCTTTCTTACCATGTAATCTGGAAAAATCAAACCTTTCCAGCGAAGTCCCCCCTTCTGTTGAAAGACTTTGTGAGATTTGCACAAATGGGTGTGTGAAAGGGAAAGACCTCACAGCAAAGCTGCCAGCACTATACTGGTCCTTTGAATTTAGGAGCTGAGTCCTCTGCGCTTGGTGATGGAAGAAAGGTAAGGTGTTTTTTCATGAGAATGATCTCCTTTATTCTGATTTGCTAACCTGAGTAGAAGTAAAACTTAAATATGACATCTATATACTGCATGATAAGAAAGACAGAAGTCATGCATTATGCAGATTTTTTTTAATGAAGAAGATGCTTTCATTGTACCAATTTCTGCATTAGAAAAGCATCATACACTCTGAAGGTTGCCTTCCAGAAATGATGGTTCTGTTGTGCTGCTAACCCTTCAGCTCCTATTTCACTGAAGGTTTTGAACATTAGAAGAGAACAACAGAGATAATTATTTTTACTAGAACTGGGAGCTTTTTCTATAGAAAAGTTGCACACATATACAAAACTCTATATACACACAGAAGTGCTTTTATGAAAAATAGAATCTGTATTTGCAGCACAGTAGAATCTACACAGCAACACCCACATTTCAAATTGATCAAGTGTAAGGTAGGCAACTTTTTTTTTCAAGTACTCTTTCTGGTACACTTTGTAGACTCATAATACCAGAGCTTTCCCTTAAAAAAAAAAAAAGGAACAGCCTGCATTTTTAATGTATGCAGAACCTTACAGTGATTACACAATGCAAGACCATGCATTTAAACCATTCCTTTTCTTCAGATTATAACTTCTTTCCTTTTGTAATGAATCCTATAGATGGAGTCTTATATTGCACCTTTCAGTAAACAAGTCATGAAACTTCTTCAAGTCCTTAACAACCAAAAAAGGCTAGAACTTTTTTAAAGGAAAGATATTGCTACAAAATTTGTAATTATTCCTTTTGCATATAATAACTCACTTGAGTTCAATCAGAACTTCCAATGAAAATGTCATTTAAAAACTTTGTTATTTATATTAGAAAAATACACATTCAGATATAATTTTCAAATTACTCTGCGCTAGGTCTCTTCCAAACTAGCAGTACAGGCTTTACTTGGCTCAGCACTGTCATTGTAAGAGTTTCTACCTTCCTGAGTGCAAGTTTTGCTTTGCTCAGTGTCAGGATTATAAGATCGTCCCCCTTCCTGAGGGCTGGAAATAGCTGCATTCATTTTCTTCTCGATTTTATCAGCTATAGCGCACATTTTTAACTCTCTCAGGCTGCTTATTAGGGTTCCATAGGCTCCCTTCATCCCATGACTCTGATACCAGACTCGAAGCAGCCTAATCTTCTGTTCAGATGTGTCACCAGGACAATCCTGAATGCTCTGGTCTATGGCAGGTTCTGATATGCGGTGGTGACGAACAAATTTCTTGACGTCTGTGAGGGTCATCTCTGCCACAATACCAGGAATGTGGCTGCTCAGGTCAACATCTAGGAGGAGGAAAGGAAATGAATGCACGTGGCTCTTTTATCCTACTGGGTTTTATCACCTGCACTCAGATTTGATACTTCTCCTATCCAAACCAGGTTAAGTTTCAGGTATTTGTGACTCAGTATGGCTTACGTGTGATTTTTTACAATACATGGCAGGTCTGTTTTTACATGTTCCTGCCAGGTGCTAGGTATTTGAAAGATTCAGGCTTGCAGCCATATTGCTTTCTAGCACCTAAAAGAGAGTCTCAGTTCCCTCTGTAACCTATTCTGTCCTTCCCTATCATGGAAGTGTGGTCACCTCTCACGTACCCATCTTTCTCAAAATAGCATTGGGAGAGGTCATGAAACAGGACAGGTCTCCTGTTGTGATACAGCCTCCGAGCTTATCTTTTTTTCTGTTGTGTACCTGTGGATTTGCCCCTGAATACAATGTGGGTTTTGTGAATCTTCAATCCCACTGTGGGACTGCTCCCTAATCATAAATATCCATGGTCACAGAACACAGTTTACTGCTTCCTAGTGTCTGTGCCACATGCAGAACAAAAATTCACTTGTAGGCAATGAGTAACTGCTCCCTCTACAACAGAAATTCCTCCTGAGGCGAGACTTCCATGATGCCACTAAGTGCCTTGATGAGCATTACATGAACTGGCACTTCTTTAGCAAGTGTTCATTTTGTGCTGGAATAACAGGTGTGGACAGTGGCAAAGTCTAAACAAAAATACTCTTTTTTTTTTTTTTTTTTTTTTTTTTTTAGTTTAGGAATTTTGTATCTGTATCTGTTTTTTCTTTCTACTGAATTTTGATAGATTACTTGTCTCTTACCTGCAACTATGAGAGGTACATTCTCCTGAAAAAAAAAAAAAAGGAGAGAAGTAAGGAGAAACAAGCTTTGTAAAACACCACGCTTATATAAGAGGATAAATACATCTCATGATACTTCTTTGATTTTCTTTTAGTTTTCTCCATGATTCCTCTTTTATGAGTGAGAGAGTCAGACCAGACAGACAGACCTCTTTTGACTTGGATAAGTTTGGGGAATCACCTCCTAATGCCTAGAATTATGCATGGGGACAGGAACATGCTGGGTTGGTGGAGGCCTGATGATTTATGAAGTTTTGATTGTGGTCATGTGACTTAGGAAGCATTCCAACAATCCTGAAGAAGTAATACAGGATTTCTCTTACTTCTCCCCAAAGAGTTCTTGTGGTGAAATTTGCTTCATTTATGTCACAGAAGAGAGGCACACAAGTGTTTGTGGAGACCCAGTGCAATTTAAATGAAAAGTTCTTTGCATAAAGCTGAATTTTTTATGATCAAAGCAACAATACTTACTGTCTCTCTGTAAACTCCATTTTTTGGGTCCTCAATGTTCATAAGACCCCTCTGTTTTCTCCTGTCTGAAACAAAAAAAAAGCATTTTTAAAATCTGGGGCAGGATATCTCTCCTTTGGACTCTAAGAATATAAAATTATATTTGAATAAGCATCTGAATATCTCATTCAGAGTACAATAGGAATAAGTAGGGAATCACTTACACCAGGCTATTGCTCCAGTTATTGCTAGTAGTACTGCCAAAACTACCAAAGCAATGATCAACCACAGCATTTCTTGTTCTGTTGGAACATTGGAAAATTTGCGTGAAAGTTAAGAAATGCAATACAGCAGCACACCAAATTTTAAACAAGACTGTGTCAGATTTTAAAAGCCCTCCTGTTGTTTCCTGACAACAAAAGCCAAATATGTTAAAGACATACCTATGGTGAGCTGCCCTAAGAAGGGGTAACAGCTCCCACACCTGCACAGTGATCAAGGAAAACCATGCTCTGCAGGTCAGCAGAGGGCCCAGTAGGAATAAGGCCCTGAGCTGTCAGGAATTACTATGGCCAGTGTGTAGAACAGGATAATTGCAATTGCTTCTCAAAATCCAGCATGTGCTGGACCTTGCTACGTTTTAAATGGTACCTTTCGTTCCGCATACAGTGTCTGAAGCTGAAGTACATTGTTTTTCAATCACACCGCTTTCACATCTGCAGAAAAAATGAACACAAATTATTAGGGGATTTTTTTTCTCTCTTAAGCTGTTGAGAGAGCAAATCAAAATCTTCTAAGATGTTTTATGTTTTATCAAAGTATTTCACATTTTGCTGATAAATATGCTGGTTTCATATTCCAAATCCCTGATCTTGGGGTTTGGAATTCAATTGGTATGAAAATGGCATGGTAGTTTGTGGCAGTGGGAAAACGCCTGAAATTATTTTTCAGTGTAACAGTAGATCACACAAAGACAACAGGAAAGCTCAGATACTTTATTAGACTTTTTGAAAAGCATATACAGACTCAGTGGATATGTAATTTTTTCTGCATGCCTATGGAAAGCCTTCATGGCTGCAAATTGAGCTGACTGAACTCAGTCAGCTCAGGTGCAAAGGAAAATTGGTATGCTTTCCCTGAGTTATAGATTACCTTAGCCTCTGTCTCGAAACCAGCTGGAAAAAAAATGTGATTACATATTAACAATTTCATATGTAGTGATGAAGGCATGAACTTACATGGTACATGGAATACAAGTGTCACATCCTGCAGGACTGCAGAAATAGTTCTTTGCACAGGCACACTGCGTGTCCTCTTCTGGGGTACAGTTCTTCACAACCTCCAAACCTGAAAACCAGATTTCTTAAAGTGTATTAGTCTGAAAAAGCAGGCTTCTGCCCACAAAGTCTTGTCCTCAGACTTGCTGCTAGCTCCACCTCTGCTGGAGCTGGCGAGGCTTAGCTTTACAATACACACAAGGAGTTTTTCTAAGGAGCTGGGCTGGCGGAGCTGTCAGAGAGACCTCTGCTGGACGAGAGCGCAGCAAACCATCACACAGTGCAGCCCTCGCCAGAAGAGGACTCATTCAGCACAGCCAAATCCCAGCTTCTTTTTCCCATTTAGTAAGGGAAAGAAAGGAAACTCAGAAGGAAACTCAGATGATCACACAGCCAATCTCCCTACCTGAAAATGGAGCTGGGTTCTTTGCACTCCCTGACAGACAAAAAGTTTTACCTTTTCTTGAAGACCTCCAGTGATGAGGAATCCACTCTCTCTTTTTTGGCTAACATACCCATGTTAAGTATTCTTCTTAAGAATCAATACAAATTATTAATTTTCTCCTATCCTCAGTTTATATGATAATGCTATCTCTATCTATGAAAAAATACTTCTGCATTAAAAATTACTGTATCTACCTACTATGAAAGCTATTTTCATAGGCATATAAAAACAGAACTAATTTTTGAGTTACTACATTCAGTGCCCTGCTGTAATTTGAAACTACTTGATATTTCCATATTTGATGAAGCTCTACTGTGAAATCAGTGCTGAAGTAACTCATGGAAATACAGGATATGAATGATCGTAAGAATGGCTCATACGGAACTTCAGTGGTAATTTTCCTCTTGCCTGTTGTCAGTCTACTGACTTCTCTTGAACTACATCACTGTCTGTGGAATATTGTGACTAGCCATCCCCTTTCCCTTTTCCTCTCTTCAGTTTTAATAATTGTGACACACATAAAACACTGAATTGTTTCGCTCTTACCAATTTCATCACCCACACAAAAATGCTTATTAGAGCAGAAAATGAGAGGAAAGTTTTCTATCCATATTGAGGTCCTAAAGGAAGGGGAGCGCACTAAAGATTGATATTCCAACAGGTGATCTGAGTACAACCATATTGGAGCTGAGAACTGTCTCTCCATTCACTACACTTGATTTTGGGTATGAGGAATGAAGAACTACCATTCCCTAAATCCAAGCAGAGCAGATCTACAGGACACCTGGTGGAACTGGTAGGTGATAAGTTTAATGGATTTTTTTAAAAAAATCTGTGATGGGTATTTATGCAATAGGTAGTGAATTTCTGCTGTCACCTAGCAGGTTCATGAACAAAGGGCTCATAAATAGACACTGAAATGACTAGGTGGGGATAGATCTTCTAATGTCCTTTCCCTCCGCTGTGGATGCTGGTGGACTGCAGGGAACAGACCACAGAAAGCAGACAGGTTTGTTTGTGTTGTCTCTAAACAGCAGCTCCTGCCTGCACTGCTGAATGCAGAACACTGGGGTAGGTGGGCTCTGCCCCAGGAGGGTTTGCCTTACAGTCTGCACACTGCACCTTGAGTGTCCTTCAAAAGACAACAACCAGTTTTAAATACCATTATCAATTATGTGAAAGGCCACAAAAAAAAATCACTACTTCTTACACCCCTCTTTTAAACAGAGGGTGAAGAAGAGGGAGAACTTGCCTTCCTTGACTCTAACCAGTTTGCACAGTGTATGCTTTGCAAGGACTTTGGCTAAGGAAAGGCAGATATATGGAGAAATAATGGATCAACTATTTTTCTTCCTACTTTGTGCTTGATGAAAGGGAGCTGGAGGATAAACTTACGGCTTTCTCTCAAATTCATTCATGTCCTACCACTAAAAGTTTTGACTCTACATGCTAACCACGATTAGGTATTGTGGAGAAATCCTGTATGAAAGAAGAGTCATTGCTACAGTTGCTATTTCTATAGCCATACCAAAGCTGCTGTCGCACAATTTGCATCTCAAACACTTGTCCAAGTCATTAGGGTGATTCATGAATTCCTTTCCTTTCTCACATGGAGCACAGTGTTTGATAACATCTATTGGGCAGGAGACGTTTTTAACAAAACCTGTAGAGACAGAAAACCAACAATCAATTTAGAGAGCAGCCACAGCTCTAAGACTAACATCAGAATTTCGTTTTTAATCCCTAATACTTTTTGATTCCAAATATGGAATGTATGTTCTTTGTGCATGTGTAGATGCACTTCAGGAATGTAGTATACATAACATTTGATTATCCCCACCCTTCCTCCAATTTAATACTGAAGGAGAACACACCAAACAAAACTGTACATGAAAAATTGAAAAATCCACAAATGTATGGAATCCTGTAGGCAAAATCATGTGTTTTCACTTTTTCAACCTTTTTCAAATATGTGTATGTTAATTCTTGGCTCTTTTGTAACAAGCACGTTATGAGAAAAGTACTCTGTAGTGAGAAGTTGGTGCATTGAGCTCAGGAAATATCTTTGAAGTGGCTTATGTCCTGTAAGAAAACAAAGATACAGCTGGAATGAAGCACTGCATCCAAGACACCACCTCGTGCCACTTTCAGTATCCCAGCACAAAGTAATTGTGCATGCTGTGGTGTCCCCTGTTCATGACTTCTCAACACAGTCTTACAATCATACTCACCACTTCTGCATTTCTTGCAACACTGAGTATCTAAATTGTATTCATCCTCCTTGCAGTTAATTTCCCTCCTGGAAATGATCCTCCTATTAGACATTATTAGAGCTTCAGTATCATTTTTGCACTGTGTTTCAATAATTAAAAGAGCCACCTAGGAGAGAACAGAAAATTAGACAAAAAACTATTTAGGACTGTGCACTAAAACTGTGTGTTTTAGTACTAGAAGAGTCACATTAATAGTGTTACTCTATAACTAAACATATTAATATTCACTCCCTTGTTAAAACTGTTTATTACTTTAGATTTAATAGACAGTGAGGGTCCATATTAAAGCCACAACCCTACCAGTACAGACACTCTCCTTTCAAATTAATTTACAACAAATCCATTTCTTTGAAATTTTTGCACTGTCAAGTTAAATTGCATACTGCTGGGAGTTTTTTGTTTGTTTGTTTTTATTTCTGTCATTAGGCAGTAGAGGTCTACTAGTGGCCCCTGTCCTGCCTCTTCTCATAATGATAATAAAGCACTGTGGCCCAGAGGCCAAACCATGGTTTTTTTATTATTTTGGAAGAAGGAGGAAGTGTAGTTTGCCTTCTTCTCAGCAACATTTTCTGGGGAACTCTCTATTTACTCTGCATGCACTAAATATGAGATGTCTATATAATGGAGCTATGGATGCTGACCATAATTTCAGTTAGATGCAGAAAACTCTTTATGTTAAATTACTGAAAAAACATTTTGGATATCAAACTGGACTCTCAAGTAAAGGAAGTGTTATCTGTTGCTAAATAACTGATGTAACCCATAAGACCATTGCCTTCTACAGGTAGCCACTTCTTTTCATCCTCTAGTCTATTCACAAGTGAGAAGGTGGAAAAAAATTATTTCCTTAGCACCTATCTGCTTAAAATGTATATAATATTAGTTACTGGACTGAAATTAAGAAGGTCTTTCTTTGCACCTGGAGGTGAAGCTCCAGCAGCTGAAACAGCATAATTAGCACTGGAGAAACTCTGGGTAAGGATGCTCAGCCCATCACTTCCCCTGTTTGGTGCTCTCTCTTCCTTTGCTGCCAAAGCTTTCAGGGTGCTCTCCTCTGAATGCCAGTGTAATGATATTAAAAAATTAAAGTCTCCACAGAAGCTTTCAAGTGGATGTGTCAAATTAATGTGATTTTTTTCCCTTTGCCTGGGAGAGCTATCTCACTAAACACTGAATTAGAAAGTCCAATTAAAAAATAATCACTAAAATATAGTCAGGGATGTATGACCAGTCTGGTGTGGTTTTTCCTAAAGCAGTATGAAGAAAATGTCCAGAGAGTCAAGCAGAAAATAGAATATAATCAAAGAAGGAAACGTATTTCTAAATTACTAATACCAGTAAAACCTTGCTTATTTTACCAAATGCCTGCAAGCATAGTGTGTGCAGAGACAGGTATTCCCTCACACCAACAAAGCTCTCTGCCTCTTGTTTATGCTTTTATACAAATGGGCTATGCTGGTATGAGGGACTACAGAAAAAGAACATTTTTAGATGGATGCCCTCTGCTCCTGCTCACGGAGATGAACTTCCTGGTACACTTACAAGAAGTGGGGGTGACTTCTCAGAATTTGACACTTAAGCAGCACCAAACACCTACATTGGCTCTGCTTGCAGGGATGTCTTACAACACCTTCCTGTGGAAGGAATAATGATAAAACTATGAAGATTTTTTTTCAAAGCAACGCCCTAATTTTTTTCCAAACATTTTTCCTTCTGGATTTGCACCCTCTTAAAAGCAATCCATTTGCTATTTATAAATTTTGGTGTGCCTCATAGGGAAAAAAAAACAAAAACAAAAAACCCAGAAAAGAGTTAATAGTCATTTAGCTTCCTGTGCACACCTTAGTTGCTTTTTCTGTTGTCCCTGGGCAGTAAACACTAATATCAGAAGGGAAGCAGTTTAGGGGCTTTTATACAGGCAGGGATGATAGGTGCTTTTTTATGACATGTACACTCAAGCAGTGGTTGTATGTTTTCAGCCTCGAATGACTCACAGAGACACTCTTTTAATTTTCTCAACCTAAAAAGAGTAGTTTTGGTATCTAAACTGAAGACTGCACTAAGCAGTCAATGGGAATAAGATCAATCAGCTGGGGACATCTACCCTTAGCAGAGCCCATAAAAATTATCATATGAGCCCAAATTTTCTGGTTTTGCTGCATTTGCATTGCCCAGACAATGAAAATAGTTTTCTACCTGCTCCTTCTCCTTCATTCCAACAGGATCCTCCAAAATGCTTTCACCAACAGGTATTTGCTAAGGACACTTTTATGAAACCTGTTTTCATCTGCATTTCTAGGGCACCGTGACAAGAACTTTCATTTCTTTGAATACTCGTGTCATTTTGGCATTCTCAGGCCTCCAGTTCTTCCTCTGTCAAAGTATTCTTCATGACATCTCAATCGTGACATTTCAAGAGAAAAGCTTCTGCAAGACACAGCTTATAGGTATGTAATCTCAGCTTTGGAAGTATGTGAAAATGTAATTTGCATACAGGACTTTTTAAAACTTTACAATGTGAACCCTGAGGAAAAAAAAAGTCTCTGTTTTCTCCTGTTATCTTTATAATACATTTTATATTTAGCAAGCCACTTCTCCTATTTCTAATCTATAAATGCTGATGGATGAGAAGACTGATGGCCACAGTATGTGGTTTTTTTTTTCCACTCCACATTTATTATATGGACCAAGGTGCATGAGCTCATCAGGGGCTTTCTAAGTGTTAAAAAGGAGGAGGGATTTTTCTTGCCTTTTTTTTTTTTTTTTTTTTTTGCCTCGTGGAAGTTAAGTTGCTAGAACTAGCTTCATTTTAATATGCTTTTCTCTGTAATTAATCTCCCTTGTATTGACTCTGTCAGGCTGGCCTTTTCAAAGAATAATTTCACTCAAGGAGTGATCTTAAGAGGATTCTCTACTCCAATTCTTTCACTATGACAAGAAATTTCTTCTTCCAAAATCTCGAGTATCATTTTTCCTCCAAGTCTTTTTTTTCTCCTGCCAAGGCTGAATCTCAGTTGGTACCAAAATGACCTCTAAAAATAGTATTTCACATTCTAAAATCTTTTCATGAAAAGAACAAAAAGATTGGGCTTTAAAAAATGGATCCATGGGAGTTGGTATTTCCCCACATCTAGAAGCACCCCGAGCTTCTTAAATTCCAAGGGAAAGGCGTGTGTTTAGTGCCTGTGAGAGCAAATAGCCTCAGACTGTTCAGCACCTTAAAACATTCACTGTTCAAATTCAATCCACTACCCTTTCATATCTCAGCTGACTCACATGCAAACTGAAACAACATGCTGGGGCTGGAGGTTGTATGATTGGTTATTTTGTTGGGTTTTGCTTTTTAGACGTACTGTACTACTGAGCACCTAGTAAATACTACACTATTTGGAGAGCTGGGAGAGATATTAACAGCTCTCACCTCACTTTGTTGAAGCTAAGCATGAATTAGAGCTTGACAGATAGAAATCTAGCAACTCTCACCCTTTTCCTTTTGTAACACAAAATGGTTTTCTTATGATTTTCTCGTTGCTCAGTGAGTTATTACAAAGATAAAGGCGGTTACAGTGGAAACATGTACAGACATGTTTCCAGAATTGGGGCCCTTAAACTTTTCACTTGAATCTTGGGTCTTCTCATCATTTTATGGCTGTTTATGCATGTACATGTAAATGTGTGTATTCGTTTTCCATGATATGAGGAAAAAAGGTCAATGCAGTAATGTAGGAGCCTTGTTTTCAAAAGTATGTCTTCTGAACTTCCAGAAAATGCCTGCTCTGCAGTCATATTATAGTTACAAAATATTTACTCAACAGTTCACTCTCTGGCCTATTCCTTTGGAGTGCTGTCTTGAGGAGATTTTATGGTGGTACTTCATTCCCTAATGGCCTGCTGCAAGGCCAGGAATGGTTGAAGATGAAGCAGGAGGCTGGGCTGGAGCCTGGGAACGCGGGGCGCGGGCTCGGTTCAGCTCTCTCTCTCTGGCATGCTTCAGGCTGCCACTCGGATGGTTAGCTCACTGCCTTTGCTCCATTTGTATCCCTGTTTGCTCAGGCAAGAGGTTATTTTTTCTCTTTCCCCATCTTTTCCCCTGGACTTCAGCAGAAATCATTCAGGGGTTTCTTTTAGGTTTTTTTTTTTCCACTTAATCTGTTTCGTCTTGCAGTCCAGGGAGCCTACGGGGGCGGTGGGAAAGACCCGGGCCAGCAAATAAAGGACACTAAAACCCACCAGTTTCACCTGCTGTGAGGAGCAGACCAAGGCCAGAAGCTCAACAGGTTCCTATCTACTTTTTGCCTGAGCTGCTGTGTGGATTTTTTTTTCTTCCCTTCCCTTCCCTTCCCTTCCCTTCCCTTCCCTTCCCTGAGACAAAGGGAGCAGCCACCATCCTTGCCTCCTGGCCATCGGGCTGGGTTGGGGGCTTGGGGTATAAGGTTCAATTTATTTTTTTCTCTCTCGTGCCTTGTGGGTATCTTGCTTTGTTAATAATCAGGGTTTATTTTCACTTTCACCCACTAGTGTTAATTTCTGTCATTGGCAAAAAGGGATTATTGGAGCCCTTCTCTTTAGAGAAAACATTCATTCCAGAGTGTTTTCTCCTAAAATTTGTCTCTAAACTGATACAAGTGTGTCTCTCAGTGGTACGTAGTTTTGTAGCTTTTTCTACATGGAGAACTCAGATGTTTTCTAACTTCATAGACCATTGTTATTTTTGCACAACTATCCCTAAATCTTCTTTTACTTGTGTGCAGTGTAGAGTTCCTTGCAAAACTGAGGTCTCATTCAACAAACTGTTTTCTTGTTCTGGTTTAACCAAATAATATGTCAAACTCTGACCAAGTTTACTATTTTATAAGTAGTGAAACAACATGCTAATTAAAACAAAAACCTTTTTTAAAATAGAAATTATGTAGGAATGCTACAGTCTTTCTAAGGTATACTGAAATTTGAAACAATTGGAAAATAACAACAGAAATTATATCTTCTCTGGAGCAGTGTTATAAATGAAAGTATTTTTAATCTTGAGATATATATTCTGAATAGTTCTAGCAAACTGAGCTACACTGACAATTCTGTCACTAGCTGGCTGCTCCTGTACAGGAACAGATAATACACACTTCTGTTGGCAGATGAGAATCCTTCTTTGTATTTAATTATGCTTTGACGATTTGTGCAGGGGCATGGATAGAGCTCTGTGAAATACTTTAAATATCTTACCACCTGTTATGCAGTTGATCAGATCGCAATTTGAGTGGTTTATACATTAAGGCTTGATTTTAACCTGACAAACCGCAAAACGAACTGCGTTTGTTAGCAATAAAGAAGAGACTTCGGAGGTCAGCGTCTCTGGAGGGAACGGGAGGACTGGGGCTGGGGGGCACTGTGCTCTGCACCCACACTTCCAGGTGTGTGTGCTGTACACGGGGCTCGCTGCCGCCTCATCCCCCCGGCATCCCGGGGCTCGGGGCTGCCTGGGGCAGCTCTACCGGGGCGCAGGCCGAGCCAGGGCAGCCACACGCCGCCGGACCTGCCCAGGTCTCCTGCCCTGGAGCTCCCTGCCGCTGCAGCAACGCACCTGCACCAGCGGAGAGCCTGTGCTGGCCGCTGACACGCTCCCTACTTCTCCTGTTGACGGCAGCCGTTCAAAGCGGATCTTTGTCAAGGTAGCTTTACTGATGAGAGTGAGACACCAGACCGAAGCTCTCAGAAGCTGCAGGGACTCACTGTCTGCACAGGCATGGTTCAGGCAAAAGGGAAGGCCCTGCCCTACTGCTTCCAGTAAGTGCTGCACACGGACGCCAGGCTTAGACTATTCCTCTAGCTTCTCCTGGGTCACTGTCATAGCGCTTCAAACTCCTCCCCCACAGGTATTTGCTTTAATGTTGCTTTCCCAGCTCGCTGGTAGGATCCGCTGAGGTGCAGCGCAGGTCGGCTCCCACCGAACCGGGTTCAGCCCGGGCATGTCCCGCAGCTCCCCGCTGGCAGAGCGGGGACTCTCCACCCGCGGCTCCGCCGCTGTGGGTGCCTGCGGACCGGAGCCGGCTGTGCCTGGGTCCCCCCACCTACAGCTCACGGTCCGACAGCCACCTGCATCCATGCCCCTTTCCTTCCGTCCGCTTTGCACAACACGCCCTTCACTGAGCACCCTTCAGAAGTGCCTGAGCTTGAAGGTGAGTTTTTTCCACTTAAAACATCGCCTAACGAATTGACTGAAATGTTGGTAACAAGTTTGCCACCGCCGGTGGCGAGCAGCGACCGGGCAGCGCTCCTCGCCCGGCGGCGCCGCACTGCTCGGCCCCGCAGTCCCTGCCGGGGCTGTCCCCGCCGCCCGCCCGCTGCCCCGCTCGGGGGGACACTTACGAAGAGCCGGGCAAGAAGCCTCCTGGCCACGCCGCCGCCGTCCCGCACCTTCCCCATGCCGCCGCTGCCCGGCACCTTCCGGCGGGAAGTGGCCCGTCCCTGCGGGACAGCCCGAGCTGCCCGCGCCCTGCCCCGCCGGCTCCTCCCATGTTGGCAAACACGGCTCGGCCCGCCCCCGGCACGGCACTGCACGGCACGGATCGGGGGGCCGGGCCGGCCGTGGGGCGCGGTGATCCGGCCCCGGGCAGGAGCTCCGGGCTCCGGGCGAGCCGCAGACAGCGGCGGGACAGCCCCGAGCTCCGCGCCCCGCGGTGGCAGCAGCGAGGGCACGGAGCTCCCGCTCGGCTGTCCCGGGCGCCGCGGGGATCGCGGGTGCTTGGCCGGGGACACCCGCTCGGCGGCTCGGGGATGCCAGGCACGGCCCCGAGGTCACCAAGCTAACAGCCTTAGTGCTGGGAATGAGACGTTCGATTCCTGTGCTTCAGGTGCTGGGCGGAGCAATTGCCTCCCCACCGAGGGCAGAAACTCTTGCCTTTGTAGTACTGCCAAGGACGGGCTTGTGGCAGGCAGTCCCGTGTGGGTAGGATGGAGATCAGAATAGGCTAAGCTCACTGCAGCAGGCAGTGCTGCCCTTTGCTGTCCTATTGAACAGGTTGCTCAAGCCCGCGACTTCTATTTTCTACCTGTTTCCAGTCACTTCTTGTGTTTTTCCTGCAAGCTTTCAGAGGTTTGAAATGCTGGTAGTCTGGCCTCCTTTGTAGAGTTAGAAATGACGTGACGGAGTTAGTTACCGATATGTGTTTTCATCTTTCAGGTTTTGACATGATTCTATTGCCTTGAGAGGACCATGGTTGCAATCGAGCTGGCATTTTCATTTTAAGCACCATTTTTCAGTGGTTTATGACTCAGATTTTCAAAAACCCTTCAGCTTTTCTGCTGGTACGGCTCTTAGCTGCAATACATAACATCAACAAAAATTAGCTACTGTTTTAAATACTTCAGGCTTTTAAACCACTTCCGGGTAAACCAAAAGTGCTGCTGACACACTTTTAGAGATGCTGTCTTTTGAGCACCCTTGAACAATCCACTTTTTGCCTTCCCAGTGGCAGTACGGAATATAACGAAGGAGAGGCATATCTTTTGGGTGCGGTTCCTGGGTTACACGTCTCTAGCTCCTACTGGCAAACCCAAATCAGCGTGTCTGTGAGGCTGCTAATTTTAGCGGAAATTTGCGTGCGGGTAGGGGTGGAGTAGGGACTGCAAGCAATGTTGTCCAGATCCGGATCGTTGCTGCAGCAGAAAGCTTGGTAGAATTGTTTCCAGATCCATCACGCGAGGGGATTGTGTTTTGTCCTAAAATCAAAACCTTATGTGGCTGGGCCCTCAGCAGGCATTGCTCAGGGTTCAGTGATGCCTCGGTGTGCCTCCTGCACTCACTATTTGCCCGATACCATCCTCTGATGTCACTCTAGTCTGTTGGGTGCATGTGGTTTGCACTCCTCCCTGCCCCCAGAGTGTGATGACTGTGTGTAGCTTCTTTGCGGTGGAGTGTTTTTGTCTTAGGGAGTTTGAGAGATGTTTGAGAAGCCACCAGATTCATGTCAAAACAACAGTGTCTGCACGTGACTTGAAGTCGTACCTTATGTAGTTAATAACTGTAGCTGTCTGGGGTTTTAGATATAAAATGATGAAGGAGAAATGTGTTTGGAGGTCTTCCTGTTGTTTGCTGAGGAGAGAAGACAAAGGACTCGTGATTTAATGTGAATCAAGCAAAAGCTGTTTATTGTGCTTCTAAACATTGTTTTTATTTACTTCTTATCTTGGTCTACGCAGTCACGCATTGTTTAATTGGTAGCTCTGTTTTGTCCATGCATCTCTTGATTGGTAGCTGTGCTTTGTCCATGAGGCAGCACACATCTTTTTCTTAATCTAATTGGTAGATGCTGTAAATGTCATTTTACTTGAGTTGACACCCCTAAGTTTGTCATGACCTTTTCTGCTTCTTCTTTCTTCTTGCAACATCCGCTTTTTTATCCAGAAAGATGACCTTGTTCTTTAGTTCCAGAGGTTAGGCTGGTTCATTTAGTATATGTCCATTGTCCTGTAAATATGATCCTATAGTTTGACTACTCTGAGTTGGTGTCAATGAGGACTATAAGGCCAGTGTTTTCATCTTTGCTCTGTTCCTTGTGTTGCAGCAGCTTCTTTTCAGCTGGTATAAGTGGCAGCGTCGACTCTTTTCTTTACTCACCCTTCATCTGAAGCTTAATTCTTGTGTCAGCAGCGGCCTGCTGAGCAGTAAAGGCTCTGCAGTTTGTCTCTGCCAGCAGATGGCCTTGTGCCTCGCCTAATGTGGGAACAGGGGTCAGGCTGGGGCAGGATGCAACTCGAGAAACACACACTGTTTAGCTCCTTTGCAATTCCAGCTTTAAATATGTACGGTTCTGGAATTAACGTGATTTTTAAATTTTTTTTTTTACTGTGGTGATTTGATTTGCGTGTGTGTGTGTTGTGTTTCTTTTTTCCCCTTGTAATTGTTGTCCTATGTCATATGTACACTGATCATAGGGAATTCTGCTCTGAGCAAAACCACCTAGGGAATAATTTTGGACACACATGGTGATAATATTATTGCATTTGGTGTTTCTGAGTTGGAATCATTATTCACACCTTAACTGGCATCAAACCTTTTCTCCAGAAAGCTGCTTGCACCTAAAGAAGCTGTTGCTGTATTACGATATTGTGGATTGCTAAGTTTTTGAGAAGATTAACTTAGCTAGTCTCTTCAGGTGAAGAAAATTTTTCAAGGTGCAATAAAACATAATTGAGGGCCTAGAGCCCTGTGCATTGTATTGGTCTCACCTCAGAATATTGAATCTATATTTATACTCCAGAGGGAAAATAATGGGGGAGAAAGTATAAGATCTGACTTGCTTTCTATTACATTTTTCTCTGTTAAATTATTAAAGATTTTTAATTTTTCAAAAAGATATTTGGTTTAGATTTGTTTTGGCATATTGGTAGTCTTTAGCTGTTCTTTTGTACTAAGACTGGGCCATTACATTAATTGCGTAGTTCCATCAAACTTAAATTATCCTTTGACCTGAAATACACATTAAAAGACCATTGTTGGTTTGTTTTTTAGTTTGTTTGTTTCAGTTTCTGTCTTTTGTTTTCTTTTGCTTTCCTGTTTTTCCCCTCCCCTGCCTCATGTATGTTCAAGAGCCACCAACCTACTTTTGCCTTTTTGTTCAAGTCCTAGAGTGAGTGATCCATTACTCATGCAGCTCGATGGTATCTCCTTCATCTTTGATTCACACCTCTTCAGTGATGTGACTCATGTCACAAGCATCAGCTAGCACTATTGGGAAATTTTCAGAGTGGTATCAGTCTTTAAATAATCAGCTCTTGCTCAATACAGTTTTATGCTGGTTGTATTATTTTCCAGATCTTCTGTGAAAAGTTGGAACAGTGTCCTTGCTGCACCCTTTGCACCACGGTCTCATAGATCAGAGAAGATCTGTAACCACTGTAAATATGGTTATTTGTTGCAGTGTGGTGTGGCCAGATTCTGACAACTGAAGGTTGCCCTTCTCCCTTTGTTCATAAACCACTATGAACCACTCCTTCCAATCACCCGGGTTTGTGGTGCACTGAAAGGTTCTTTGCCAGGTGATGTGGCAGTGAAGCACTTTGTTGGCCCTAACTCCCTGTTCTGTGTGTGGAGAACGTGACATGACAGCACAGAAGAGGGAAAGTATGGTGTGACCTGAGAGGTTTATGAAGACCCTGTGGGGTTTCTTCATAAGGGTGCTGCCTGGTATTGCATCAAATCACAGATCAGGGTGTTCTGGCATGCAGTGTACTTGCCTCAGAAGTAACAGTGATCTGATATACCCTCCTGTGGAGCCATAGATGCTACTGTTTATCTGAAAAAAACCCACACTAGCAAGAAAACAGAATGGAAACAAAAAACCAGCCTAGAACAAAAGAGAGTGGAAACTGAAACTCATAGCAAGTGACTTGTGTCCTCTAGCTGTTCTCTTCTGGAGAAGGTGATAAAGGAGAACTGGCCATAAACCCTGTCATTCTTAAAGAAAATTGAAACAGACGTGTGTCCTTTTTCTCATAATTTAACTTCCTGACACAACCCTGGATCCATGTTTTTGTTCAACAGACCCAGTTTGATGACGTCAATGCATTCTTCACAGCAGGGAAAAAAAAAAAAAGGCATTTTTCAAACAAACTGAGCATTTCCTTAGACTGGAAAAGCAAATTGGCTGAATGCCTGGTGGCTCCTACAGCCAATCACCATAACCTTACCATAAATGTAGATGTGTTTCTGTCTTACGGTTGATTATTGACTTTATTTTAGACATGGGACCATCCTGTCCCAGTCGTCTGTGTGTGCTCTGTACAAGGGAGTGCTGAGATTCTAAATGCTGCATTATTTACCAAATATTTTGCACGTTGCATGGACTGACATAAAATTTGACTTTGTGACTTGGTAGATTGTAAATGCATCTGTTTTAATTGTTTTGCAGAGCTCTGTATCCATCGAGATCTTGCAGCAGGCAGCTTTGTCTCAGAGGCTGGCTGGTGATATTTTCTCTTTTTTTTTCAGGCAAATTGGTCTTAGTTGTTTTTTGAAGATGCTATTATTAAGGTTAAGCTTTATACTTTCAAAGCTTGGTGTACTGCAAATGCTAACTGTCAAATGTGATACAGAGCAACTGTAAAAGGTTTGCAGATAATGTGCTAGGGATGCTAAATGTTCTTCAGAGGTGAGTGAGGAAGTGTTCAAACCTTTTCCATTCAGCTACTGCCTGGACAGAGCACTGCTGATTTAATTTGTGGGTTTCTTCCATTTGTGAGATAAATCCAAGGCTGAATCTTTGTGCTAAGGATGAAAGAGGAAAAATATCTATAGAGAAATGTCTGAAGTTAAAAGGTAAGTGTGAATAAAAGGAGATCTTTAGTTCTGCTTTTGACCTTAAATCTGAAGATGGCCTTAACAGGTGCACCAGATGGCTTAATTTCCCATGTTGAGTAAGTGATGCTCAAAGAGCCACACTTCAAGGAAGTTTTGCTTATAATTTTAAAGGAAACAAATTGTATTAAAAAATGGTAGTGAGGAGGAGAAGCTAAAGGAAACATTTTGAAGGGTCTTAGCATGCTGTAGTCTCTGATATTGTAAGAAATATTGCAAGTTTGGAATTCAGTTCCACTGTTTTGCTTTGCTCTGTCATGCTTCTCTTTCTGGGATATCATCTGATAAGTGAGACTAGCAGGCTTAGATAAAAGCAGTGTCATGTGGCTGAGACTCCAAACACTCTTGGTTTGGTTTCTTTTGATATCACTTAACCTTTGAAATACTTTGGGGGTGGGGAAGACACAACAGTGATGTGAAAAGCTTTATCCCTCCCACTTACATCTCAGATGCAGCTTGGCATCTGCTGTGACATCAGAGCCAGAACAGCCTGCAGTGATCCTGCTCTGGGTGTTTGTCTCCTGGGCATGGCTGTGTGCTTGGCAGCAGGACTTGTGCTTCAGGTAGATGCTCAACAGCTAAATCCTGCTAGAGAGGGGCTGTTGTGGTAGGAACAAAGTTTGGAGGTCAGAGGGTTATCACGTTTCCTGCCTTCACCGGCTCCCCCACTGCCACCACACATTTGCACAAACAGAAGAGAGGCCTGGCTAGCTGCTGAAGCTACAGGAGTGAGTCATATTTTCTCTATTCAGCTGCACAGCCCAATGCATAGTAAGGTTTTGTGAGCTGTAGCAAATGGATTGAGTATGTAGTACAGAGAGATTTATATTTCTGTCAAAATGCAGAGGATTGTTTTCTGTCGGTGGTTCTCATCAGCAATTAAATGATGTGCTTGGATAGCTGTGCATCTCTGAGGGTGGTCACTAAGAGAAGGAATGCAGTGATGCTAGCTGTCTGAAGCAGTCTGTTCAATTCCCAGATAAGACATCAGTGTTATTTTTCATCTGAATAATTTCTCAAATACTTGTTTTCTTTTGAAAGAGGCATCCTTTCCACACTGCCCAGTAGCTGTCTCTCCTGCTGCCAGCCAGCTCTGATGCAGGAATGGGATGAGGGGCTGCAGAGGGATGGACAGCAGAACATGCATTCTGGTTCCCTGGGATGGGCAGCAGTCTGGTGGTAGTGCAAGCCATGGCTCTCAAAGCCACAGGTTTCCCATAGGTTTCTCCCAGCTTGGGGATTCTCAGAAACTTCCCTGCCTGGAGGCAGCCAGCTGAGAGGAGAGCAGTTCCTCAGTTTCATATGAGAAATGAAGAGGAAGTCACATGCCTTTGCTATCAGTGTAGGGAAATGGTCTTACCTTCTGGAAGAAGAGGTTTTTGACTGAATTCTCATCTTTCATTTATTCACTTCAGAGAGTCATGATTTTTTTTTTTTTTTGAGGTCAATGTTAATTTTGATATTGCCTTGATTGAAGCTAATGTTTCACTACCTAAGCACAAAGAATATGTAAAGAAATGTTATGTCAATACATGGGGATTTGCCTCTCTAGGGGAGGCAGGGCTGGCCACCAGCCCCTTCTCCATCAGCTCCCTGAAGGGGCAGCGTGGTCTGTCCTGCACTGGGCACATGGCAGAGCCTGGGGTGTCACAGCTTGCTGCAGTGAAAGGCTGTTGGTACATGGAGCTTATTCCTTGCCCTCACAGCTACTGCCCCACTATTCCTGAGTGACCTGGTACAAACCCCACATTTGCTCTTCAGGGGGCCCATCTGCAAAACAGGATCTGACAAAGACAAGTTATGAAAGGAAAATAAGTGAAAGGAAAATGAGTTATTAAAAGCAAGGTGATAGGGAAGGTTTAAGCCCTCATGAAAACAGTAGCTTGTATTGTATGCAGAGTAAAAGAACACAGATGTTAGCCCTTTTTTTGCCCCAAGTGTGGTTGTCCCCTGTTCCTCCCAGCCCCTTTTCCTGAGAAGGCCTCACACATTTGCAGTGAGTGGAGTTCAGTCTCTAATGCAATAAAATGCTATAGCAACACTGTTTTGTTTAAATGCGATTCAGAAAGGGGGATGTGTTTGTGCTGAAGATCTGCTAATTGCATCCTCTTCTCCTTGTATTAAACAATGAGTTCATGCTGTGTAGTGCAGAGCAATCAGCATGCAGGGAAATGATTTATACTGTATTGAAGAGGTCTGAGCTTTTGACCTTGTAAATGAATTCCCAGAGACAGCTAAATACAATGCAGTAAGTAACGGGCTTTAATTAGGAAGCTGGAAGAGCTGTACATAGTTCTGGTATCCTGATGTGGAAACTATCCAGGCGTTTTCAGGATCCTTGTACAGCAGTGCTTTGCAGCAGTGAAAGGAGTTACTCTGCCTTCAACAAGTTGCTAGCAAGGAACTGAAAGAAAGGAAACTCAGGAACTACTTACAGGACTGACAACATGGTAGAAACTATAATTCTGAGACTTGTCTCTTTTTTAGTGATGTTTCTGGCTTGCAGGAAGAAAAGAAATGGATCAAAAAACAGTTGAGTTTGCAGAAATCTCCCAATGGCAGGCTAGACCTGAGTCCTGACAATTTTCATCCTCCTTGAGACCAGTGGTACAATAATTTCAGTGGTCCTGAAATGGGCTGGAATGAAGAAAAGCTTTAGAGAGTTCTGAGTTTTTCCATGTTTCAGGAGCATGGTTATGTTTGTTTCAGAATTATGTGTCTAAGTCTTCCTTACAGTCATAAAAGGAGAGGAACAAAATTTTGTTCTTTGGCCTGTAAGGGAATTTGAGCAAGCAGTTAAAACTGGGCATGTAAAACACATTTAGTGGAAGAGGAAAAGAAAACCCTAAGTTTGATTGGAAAATGCTTTTACACTTTCAGAAAACCAATGAAATTATTGAACAAAAATAGCACGTTATCTGTACTTTTCCCCAGTTCTTACGGCTGTAAGAAAGAGGAAGAAGAAGCAACCTTATGTAACTGAGATGCATCTGCAAAGCAAGGACCAAAAGCCTGCCTGCTTCAGTTTTCTTGTGAGGCTTTAGCATCCTTTGGGGAGCAGTTTATAAAGGGAATATTCTAGAGCATGAGACACAGCTGTGTGCTAAGCCATCATCAGCTGTCTCCCTCCTGGGGCACCACACTTTGTAACAGGAGGATGTCCCAGGGCCAAGCAGCAGCCAGGATGAGTGCAGGGAGGTGTGACAGAGCAGGCTGGCACTGCCCACGGGGCACAGGAGAGCTCCAGTGGAGTCCTGTCCTTCCTGCAAGCTGCAGTGGGTTAGGCACCACATTCCTGGGTGTGTTTTCGTCAGCCA